CTACAGTACATGCCGCCCTCTCCCTCCCCGGCTCCGGTACCTGTGAGGCAGGAGCTTGCTTCACTCCTTGTCTGTCTTGTATAATCACCCCCTTCCTTTCTCTCTCGCTCTCTCCACCTCCCGCCAGGTGAGGACAGCAGCCCCGAGAACCTGCTCCTCCACGGGCCCTTCTCACGCAAGCCGAAACGCATCCGCACCGCCTTCTCGCCTTCCCAGCTCCTCCGGCTGGAGCGCGCCTTCGAGAAGAACCACTACGTGGTGGGAGCGGAGAGGAAGCAGCTGGCCAACGGGCTGTGCCTGACGGAAACGCAGGTAAGGGGGCCGGGGCGCCTCGGAGGCAGGACTCCCGGGACCGGGAGCCTTCCAGTCCGTTCAAACAGCACCCGGACCGAGGGCAGGCGGGCGCGCAGTCGCTCCAGCTGTGCGCATCGCACGCTAACGCAGCGCGCCCAGAGAGCACATTAGGGCAGGCTTCGCAAACGTTTAGGAAATGAGTCACTGAAAGAAAATGAGAAGGCGCGAGTACCTTATAAATGTTAACTTGCATTTTGTTTATTTTTCACTGGGCTAATTTCGTTGCTAAACAATTGTGAAACAATCATTAGGTCCTCAAAGGAAAGCATTTCTTCAGCAGTGCTTTTTTTGTTCCCGTCTTGTAATCAGGCCTCCGATTCAATTATTTTAAATTCTTTTCCTTTATCTGCACTCATTTAAAGTCCGGGCGACGTAGTGGCTTCTGCATCAGAGCTGTTGGGTCCAGGGTTTGATTCTGAACTAGGATACGTTCTGTGTGGAGTTCGCATGTCCCTCCTTGTGTCTGCATGGGATTTCTCTGGGTGCTTCGGTTTCCAATCAGTGTCCAGTGACTTCCTGTCCAGGTTAATTGGGATCACTGAATTGCCCCGTGTATGCGTGTTTGTCTGTGCCCTGCACTGTTCTGGCATCTACTCTGCAGTGCAGTTAAACCTGTGTCCTGTGTCTGCTGAGTTAGAGTTCCTCTGAGGCTCACTGTGATCTTCTGAGGCTGAATATGGTTACTGAAAACGCACGTATGGGTAATTAAGGCATCCTAGAAGAAAACAGCACCTGGTGTAGTAATAAAGACGGCAACAGACCTACTAGAGAGTAGTATGCTGATATGTGACAGTCACCCTCCCTGCAAAAATAAGCAACTCCTGTCCAGTATTCTCGCTTGGGGTTTAAATATCACCGGTCTCCAAGAGCCCCTATGCCCTGCTCAGACCCAGGCCACCAGATACAGTAATGCCATGTTGACATAAAGACTGAATTTTGTGCTCATTTCAAAATTGCACAATTTGCATGGAGTTTTAGGAACTGACAAGACACTGCACTAAGATGGCACAAGAGTGGCAGAAAGATATCTAATGGAAGATTATTATAAAACGACATAATACAATGATTTTTACAGGTGCTTTTCCACAAACTCAATGTGTTATAAAAAAAAGCACAACATACAATAAACTACAGAAGAAAGAAAAAAGAAATGGGAGAATACGTACTGTATAGACCTTACACACTTGTATGAATACTGAAGTCTGCAGTAGATATTTCCCCAAAGCTGACAAATGTAATACTTCAGCAGACTGTATAATATGAAGCCTTAGGCAAAGCAGTGCTTGGCAGTCAATTTGAAAAGAATATTAATGTACCGGTAGTTACTTTTGTTGGGGCTTTACATCATTATTATACAGGATGGAAACATTCTATGGTAATAAGATCATTCTATTTTAAAAGTTAAGAGAAACATATATTACAGTGATTATACTTTGCAGAAAACATTCAAGCCTCGGGTGAAGATTTAGTCATTTTAATCTTTTTGTTTTATTTGGTTTAGAGGAAACTATGTTACCTTAAAAAACTGTAAAAAGGGAATTTCAACTGGAACATATCTGTTGTTTGCTTTTGGTATTTGCAATATATATATATTAAAATTTTAAATTACATAGTTCTTGACTTTCTAAATTGCTGGGTACTTAATTATAAACACTGCTCTCCCAAATGGAATCACTGTGAAACAAATAAAAAGTCTTCTCGGGACACTCCGAGATAATGTAATGATAGAGACATTCACTTCAAATAAGTGTCGCACTTTAGACTAGACAGCTATAATTTAGACAAGCAATCACTTGGTACCACCATAAAAGATTGATTGTTACTTAAAACTATAAATAAAAGATTTAAAAATTGCAACCTGAACCTGTAATAAATGAAAATATGTTTATTTTGGAAAGGAATATAATCTGGAATCTCCTAAACTCTCGGTAATTGTTGTGTGAGTATATTAATAATTTACTTCTTAATCCTATTGAATGTCTGCATGTAAAGTGCTGTTGAATCACATTTTGCTACAACGCATAAATGGAAAAATTCTTTCTTCTGAAATGCTTAGACCTGCTTGTGAAAAATGAGGGGGTTTGATATTTAGTGCTTTCAGATTTAGTGAAACATAAATCACTCAATTTTCCCCATGAAGAATGTGGCATTTCTGACTTTCCGAGGACACTAACACCCAGTGTTACAGTATTATGTTGGGCTATGAATGAGATAGTCAAATGTTTGTACTTCAAATACTGTGGCATCCTTTCTTAGATTCACATCTCTGATCAAACTTTGATGGTTTCAAATACTCTGTTTTCTTAAGGCAAAAAAAAATAAATAAGTGACTCGGACTACTTTTGAGAAGCTTATGGGAAGTGAGCCTTTCAGTATATGTGAAGTCTGCAAAAATCCACTTTCTTAACGCGGACCTTTCCTGTTCTCTTCAGGTCAAAGTCTGGTTCCAAAACAGAAGGACTAAACACAAGAGGCAGAAACTGGAGGAAGAAGCGCCCGAGTCCCAGCAGAAACGCAAAGGGAACCAGCACGTCAACCGGTGGAGGGTGGCGACGAGGCAGGGCAGCCCTGAGGACATCGATGTCATTTCGGAGGACTGAAACGATACCTTCCGGACCCTGAAAGCCCACCAGGCTGCCGTCAATCACAAAATAAAAACAGCCCTCTTACAACGTTCACTAGGAATAAAAAACAGGCGCACCTATTTGAAAAGCACTGCACCACCTTCCCGACTGAGGCTGTCGGAGGACAAAGACTGTCACCGTTCAAAAAAAAAAAAAGAAAAAAAGAACGCGTTCGGTCGCGTAGGATTAATGAAGTATGCCGAATCACAAAACGCGGTTTATCTGCGGTGAGCCCAACACGAGTCCAACGCGTGATAGTCTGCAGGGAAGGTACTTTTCTATTATGCAGCTCTGCGTGTATTGTGGCAATGCAGGCGTAGTTGTGCTCGATAAAAAAAAAGAAATCTCTGCAGAAAACACGCGCATTCTCTTTAGCTGAAGCTGGTTATCTGCTTGCCTGAACTCTAGATGTTACCTTTCCTTATTTAATACATTCTTTTAGCTGAAAAATATATTTTCTTGAGGTTCTTTTTTTATTGGGGTTTCTTGTACCCATGATCATTAAACCTAAAGGAATGTTCAGTCTGGTCAGAATATAAGCCATTGTTATTGGACTCGTCTTCAAAGCATGCTGCAGGTGACGGATTAATACACAAAGCTTTTCTTAAAAATGTCTATGCAATTTTCAATCTGTTCAATAACCATGTCGCTAGCATACAGTTTTTACATATGTATGTCATTGAAAAGTTCGATTTGACTACAGTTCTTCCACTTTTGTCCATGAGCATGAAATGTTTGAATAAAAGATGTATCACAGTTTAAAAATGCAGAAAAGATGGGTAAATACAAAATTCAATGTGAAACATACAATTATGCATTTTTTCTCTTGGCATTCGTTTTATTTATCAAACCATAATAAACAGGTGGCTTGAAGTGAAGATTTTTATCTCAGGGTGTGCATAGTAAGTTCATAGTATCTGAAATAAAAAGTAAAAATAAACAAGAACATAGAAAAAAATCAATGTATCGAACTCACCATGCCCATCGTAAGGTGAAAAGTAATAATTTTGGTTATCTAATTTATTTTTTAAGAAGCATAGATAAAAAAAAACATGTTGCCTGTCACCTTGCATTTCTCTGATGTGTGCATGAAATGCAAAAAATGAAAACTATTATATGCCCCATAATGCAAATGACTGGGAAAAATGAAAATTATGACCAACATTCCCACAACTGGACCCTTTGAGATTAAATGACCTGTTCGTGGGTATAGCATATGTCTTCATATAAAACATCCTATGTTCACAAAGATAGAAATATTGGTAAAAATGTTAACTTCTTGGAGGTCTTTTAAAGATTTCCAGTAAGATTTTTTTTTAAATCAACATGCATAGCTGATATACATAAATATGAAATGCTGTCCTGTTAGACATCAGTGTGAGAAATCTGATCTCTGATATTTTTTTAATATTTTTATTTAGGTGTCCGCTTAGCTGCACTGAAATGAAAGGGCATTTGAGAACCATTCCTATTTTAAAACCTGTGCAAATGGAGCAATACATTAGATGTTGTTTGAAGAAATTCATGAACTTCCTATGAAAAAAAATGCATTGAGAAAAGCATTTGTTTAGACCAATAATAGACTGATTCTTCTCACTAAAATTTGCCTGAAAGCTTCTTTGACAAAAGAAAATTAATACAGTAAGACAAAAAAACGTTTTAAATAAAATTGCTGATATGATGTACATATAAAATGTGAGTTGTGTGTGTATTCTATTTTTTTGTAAGAACTGGATGTAAAATATATATTTTTTCTGTTTTAAATGTTATACTTTCATGTTTTTGTTGTTTTCTAAAACAGAACCATGTGGTCTTTAACAGGAATAATACATGGAATTATCTTGTTTTTAAGAAAATAAAACTTTGTCTGAATGAGATTTCCTGTCTGGAGATTAACATTACACATCAGAAGTGAGCTACTAAACATAACGTATTTACATTTATTAAATGTGTCTTGATTGCATTTTGTAAAACCTTGATTTTTAAAAATTGGCAGCAAGACAAGAATATTTGAAATGAGTACGGTAAAGATTAAAATACTACCCCAATAGTATTGCTGCTTCCAATTACTAGGTCTATAAGTCCATTGATATCTAATAATTGAACACAATTTTAGTTATTGCTTACATAGAAAGTAATATTTATGATCATGATTTACAGGAAAGGTAAGAGGCTTTGTGCATCGACTTGTACTGACGTTGTAAACTGACATATTTTACCTTCTATCGGATAAAGCAAACTAGTCTGCCTCAAACATCTGTTACGATCACAATTCTGGCCACACGCCCGAAACAAGAAGGCCGGAGACAAGCTCGACTGCTTGGTTGAAGATGTAGCTCTGTCTCGGAAGATAGGACAGAGAATAGGACACCTATTCCTTTGTGTTTCAGATTTAGGACAAATAAATAAAAGGATATACACTGTTCACGCTGCGGAGAAGACAACCCT